TTTTTTATTTATTTTAATAACCGGGCGGGTTTTTTGAAAAATTTTATAAAATTTTATATATGAAATTTAAAAAAAAAAAAGCCAGCCGGTCGGGTCTGTTTAGAAGTTTTATGTTATAAAACCAAGATATTAAATTTGTGTGGCTTTATTTTATTTTTTTCTGACTTTATTTTAACAGACATCAGTTAAAGAACCCGAAATTCGTGCTTTTGAAAAACATCTTCCTGAAGATGTTCATATTGTTTCGTGCCATTCACTTCATGGTCCTTCTGTAGATCCTGAAGGACAGCCATTGGTAATTTCCGATTGTCGCCTGACAAATCACGTGAAAGAATGCTAGTTAAAATCCTTTGTATTAAAACATCTTAGGTTATGATTCAACATCGCGCCACAAAAGAGAAATTCGAGTTTGTACTTCGTGTATTATCATGTTTAAAATCTCAATTTGTTGTATTATCTTATGAAGAACATGATCGTATTATGGCCGATACTCAAGCTGTGACTCACGTTGCCTTTTTAAGGTAAGCGAATTAAATCCCTACGTTGAAGGTATACGTGTTATTCATTTTTAAATTTCTTTTAAGTATGGGAACTGCCTGGATGACTCAAAAACAATTTCCGGTACGATATTATATAAGATCTAATAAATATATATAACTTTCTCATAAAAATATAATCACATTTTTCCTATATTATTATAGTGGGCAACTCCGCAATATGTTGGTGGAATAGAAAATGTTAAAGTTCATATGGCATTACGTATATATTCAAACAAATGGCACGTTTACGCTGGTAAAGTATCTCAAAATATAATGATAGTAAATTATTATTAATTATTAATGTTCATCTTTAAAACGACTAATAGGAATTGCTATTATGAATCCAAATGCAAAAATACAAATTCAACAATATTCACAATCAGTAGCTGATCTGTTTAAGTTGATGATTCAGGAAAAAGAAGAGGAATTCATTACTCGTGTGAAGACTGTAAATATATTTATAAATGTTACTTGCTTTTTATTCATGTAATATCGGCTTTATAACGATTGGTTTACAAATTAGGCAGGAGAGTTTGTCTTTGGTAAAACTAGGAATTCTTCTCGTAAACAAATACTATTATCAGATTCTATCTTGGATCAATTCTCTTTATCAAGTGTACCTAAAGATAAAAGAAAACCAAATTCTCACTTATCGTTGTTAGCGATGGTTAGTGTGACACGCTTTCCTTCGTTTTATCATAGATATTATCGATATTATCGATATTACAATTTCTAACATTTCTTATTTCAAAGGCTGATTGTTGGTACTCTCTTAAAATTAATCCGTATGAACATATGATGTGTCAAACTCCACTTTTTAGACTTTGGACGTATGTGTATTTTATTTTATTTACTCTTTTGTATGTATTTATTATTAATTAAAATTAACCTTTTTAGAGGAATTACGGAATATTTATTCTGCAATTCTGAAATGTTAGACGAGGCAATTCATTCAGCATTATATAGTAAAGATATTCGAGCAGATGACATGGAATTTTATAGCGCAACCAAAGGCTGGGCAGAATGTGTTGAAATTGGCAATATGATGACATATCAAAGAAGGTTCGAGGATACCGCAAAATTCTTTGAGTCTAGGTATAATAATTATCTATTTATTACTTATGTCTATGCACCTGATAGTTTACTGATTTTATATAACGTTCATTACTAGATTTGAAGAAAGTAATAAGCTAGGAAGGGAAATGATAAGAGTCATTGTAAATAAGACACATAAATAGAATTTCATTTTGATAAGTTATGTAAACAGTTTATTCGAACGGGCATTTTGTACCGACTCTAGTTATAGGGATGGGAAAAAATCTTCGTTATAAATTCTTTATTGTTGGATCCTCACTATATGGGGTGTCGTATTAAAAGGGCTCATAAACAATTTTGAGTAAATGATGATCTTCAAATAAAGGCACATATAACATTTTTACTTTAAATTCATTTTGTGAATCTTTTTATTATATAATTAGCTTCTGTTATTTATAACAAATTTTTTTATTGAATATACAATATATCCATTCAAAAATCAAGTAAAAAAAAATTTCAAAATGGGCCCTTTTAATACGAGACCCCATATAGAATTCGAAATTGTCATTTTTTATAAATTTTTATTTGACAATAAATTTTATTCGTTAATATCACTTTTGAAAAAAATGCAGTGAGTAGTTACTAACACGCTTTCGTCAATCTGTCAAGTCAATACAAATCTATACAAATCTTTCTAACTGAAAAAAACGTATTTTAAATCAGAATTATGATAGTATTACCTATTGTCTTTCTAACGTTTTACCCTGAAACCATTGAAAAGATTTAGTTTAGCGAAAAAACAATATGATGTAAGTTAAAATTCACGAGAATATGATTTATGTACCATGTATATCTCTTTCTCGACTTCGCAAGGCCGGGTTTCTTACGTTCAACCCTACGAATATCTCGCGTGACAAGTTTGGCTAAAGAGTAATTAATAAAATATAATAAATGTAAATTAAAATATTCATATTGTAAAGAGCACATATTATTATTGCACCTTTTCGTAAATCTGGCTTCAGGGATGGATCGTGTATAGATTTGTATTGACTTGACAGATTGACGAAAGCGTGTTAGTAACTACTCACTGCATTTTTTTCAAAAGTGATATTAACGAATAAAATTTATTGTCAAATAAAAATTTATAAAAAATGACAATTTCGAATTCTATATGGGGTCTCGTATTAAAAGGGCCCATTTTGAAATTTTTTTTTACTTGATTTTTGAATGGATATATTGTATATTCAATAAAAAAATTTGTTATAAATAACAGAAGCTAATTATATAATAAAAAGATTCACAAAATGAATTTAAAGTAAAAATGTTATATGTGCCTTTATTTGAAGATCATCATTTACTCAAAATTGTTTATGAGCCCTTTTAATACGACACCCCATATAGTGAGGATCCAACAATAAAGAATTTATAACGAAGATTTTTTCCCATCCCTATAACTAGAGTCGGTACAAAATGCCCGTTCGAATAAACTGTTTACATAACTTATCAAAATGAAATTCTATTTATGTGTCTTATTTACAATGACTCTTATCATTTCCCTTCCTAGCTTATTACTTTCTTCAAATCTAGTAATGAACGTTATATAAAATCAGTAAACTATCAGGTGCATAGACATAAGTAATAAATAGATAATTATTATACCTAGACTCAAAGAATTTTGCGGTATCCTCGAACCTTCTTTGATATGTCATCATATTGCCAATTTCAACACATTCTGCCCAGCCTTTGGTTGCGCTATAAAATTCCATGTCATCTGCTCGAATATCTTTACTATATAATGCTGAATGAATTGCCTCGTCTAACATTTCAGAATTGCAGAATAAATATTCCGTAATTCCTCTAAAAAGGTTAATTTTAATTAATAATAAATACATACAAAAGAGTAAATAAAATAAAATACACATACGTCCAAAGTCTAAAAAGTGGAGTTTGACACATCATATGTTCATACGGATTAATTTTAAGAGAGTACCAACAATCAGCCTTTGAAATAAGAAATGTTAGAAATTGTAATATCGATAATATCGATAATATCTATGATAAAACGAAGGAAAGCGTGTCACACTAACCATCGCTAACAACGATAAGTGAGAATTTGGTTTTCTTTTATCTTTAGGTACACTTGATAAAGAGAATTGATCCAAGATAGAATCTGATAATAGTATTTGTTTACGAGAAGAATTCCTAGTTTTACCAAAGACAAACTCTCCTGCCTAATTTGTAAACCAATCGTTATAAAGCCGATATTACATGAATAAAAAGCAAGTAACATTTATAAATATATTTACAGTCTTCACACGAGTAATGAATTCCTCTTCTTTTTCCTGAATCATCAACTTAAACAGATCAGCTACTGATTGTGAATATTGTTGAATTTGTATTTTTGCATTTGGATTCATAATAGCAATTCCTATTAGTCGTTTTAAAGATGAACATTAATAATTAATAATAATTTACTATCATTATATTTTGAGATACTTTACCAGCGTAAACGTGCCATTTGTTTGAATATATACGTAATGCCATATGAACTTTAACATTTTCTATTCCACCAACATATTGCGGAGTTGCCCACTATAATAATATAGGAAAAATGTGATTATATTTTTATGAGAAAGTTATATATATTTATTAGATCTTATATAATATCGTACCGGAAATTGTTTTTGAGTCATCCAGGCAGTTCCCATACTTAAAAGAAATTTAAAAATGAATAACACGTATACCTTCAACGTAGGGATTTAATTCGCTTACCTTAAAAAGGCAACGTGAGTCACAGCTTGAGTATCGGCCATAATACGATCATGTTCTTCATAAGATAATACAACAAATTGAGATTTTAAACATGATAATACACGAAGTACAAACTCGAATTTCTCTTTTGTGGCGCGATGTTGAATCATAACCTAAGATGTTTTAATACAAAGGATTTTAACTAGCATTCTTTCACGTGATTTGTCAGGCGACAATCGGAAATTACCAATGGCTGTCCTTCAGGATCTACAGAAGGACCATGAAGTGAATGGCACGAAACAATATGAACATCTTCAGGAAGATGTTTTTCAAAAGCACGAATTTCGGGTTCTTTAACTGATGTCTGTTAAAATAAAGTCAGAAAAAAATAAAATAAAGCCACACAAATTTAATATCTTGGTTTTATAACATAAAACTTCTAAACAGACCCGACCGGCTGGCTTTTTTTTTTTTAAATTTCATATATAAAATTTTATAAAATTTTTCAAAAAACCCGCCCGGTTATTAAAATAAATAAAAAA